TTACATTCCACAATGTTGGTATGTGTTGATTTTATTTTTTGCTTTTTAAGGATGTCAACCTATGATGTCGATGGGAAACATAACATATGTGAAGGATTTTTTCATTGTTGGCTTTCCTGGACTTCACCCTAACTACTATGGACTTGTATCAGCAGCTATGTTATTTGTTTATGTGTGCACTTTGATAGGGAACGGAATATTTCTTTGTTTGTTTGCAACAGAAAAAAGTCTCCATAAACCTGTATATTATTTCTTTATAAGTCTAGTCATTTCTGACGTACTGTTCAGCACAAGCACTTTACCAAAGATCATTGCCAGATACTGGTTCCAAGCTGGGACCATTTCATTTTTAGGTTGTTTTATTCAGATGTATTTAGTGCATTACTTTGGCACAGTCACTTCACACATACTGGCACTAATGGCCATAGACCGATATGTAGCAGTTTGTTACCCACTTCAGTATCACAATGTTATGACAAACAGAAATGTATTCATTCTGAGCCTGGTGGCCTGGGTTGTGGCTCATTCCAGTATTCTGATGAATGCCATTCGAGCTTACCCTCTACCTTATTGTGGAGCCAACACCATTTTGCACTGCTACTGTGACCACATCTCAATTACACGACTTGCGTGCACTGACAGAACTTCATATAGTTTTCCAGCTTTTGTTTTTGCCATGCTAATATTGCTGGGATCTCTTGCCATTATTGTCTTCTCCTATTGCTGCATTATTGTAGAAGTCCTAAAAGTCTCGAGTGCTGGTGGGCGACTGAAGACTTTCTCTACTTGTACTTCTCAACTCATCATAATTGCTCTATACTTTATACCCAGGTGTTTTAACTATGCGGCCGCCTATAGTGGCATCACTTTTAATCCTGATTTGCAAATAGCTATTGTCACATTGTATAGCTTGCTGCCTCCTGTGATCAACCCACTAATCTACTGTTTGAGAACACAAGAGGTGAAGAAGATTTTGATAAACAAATTTCAAAGGAATCAAGTTAATTCACCCTGATGTGTCTTTTTAAAAATATAAATATTTAGCATTTTTCTTTCATGAATTAATGAGACCTTGCTTAGGCCATCTTTGCACTTGGTATTAAAAGCACCTTGTCCATAACAGTTGTCTGTACATTTAAAAAAAAATACAGGTATGGAAGTATATCTGACTTAATTATGATTTGACTGGGTTGTTCTGTTCCTGTTAAGGATGCAATCTACTTATGATGCCTGGCTAAGGTGGACATGGCATATAAATGAAACCAAATTTAATTCTGCGCAGAATAACCAAAATATGGAAACAGAGTTTGATCCACTGGTGAAATGGGCAGGCATAGAAGGACTGTGTATTAATCACTATAATTGGATCAGACCTAAATAAGGATAGTTCCTAATGCATTGTGTGGAGAGGGCCTAATATTTTCCATTCTTTAACATGTCTAATAAGACCCAATGAGAAAATAAATTGCTGAGTAGAATCAACTGTATATAAATCTGATCCTGTAAATCTGGAGCTGCAAAGACTGAATTCAGAATAAAAGAACAGAAATCATGTCCTGGTTGTTCATTTTTTAGATACAGCACCATACATTCATGATTAAAATTGCAATATTTTTGTGTAAGCAAAATTAAATTATGTAAATTAAAAAAGGTTTGTCCAAAACAGCTATGTAAAAGAGGAAAGTGTGGTGATCAATATTTTATAATAAGATAATAATATTATCATCTCAGTTTAACATTTTACGTATGTCATATTATTTCACAGTCTGTGTGAGTAAAAGGAAGAAAATAAAAAATGATCAAAACCTCGATTAATTAAGAAATCTGTTTGATAGGATTTGTGAAAACTGTCTTACTTGAAGCTGCTTCGCTAGACAGACTTCTGATCCACAACTTCTATTTATCCAAGTAAACTAAGCCAAACAATGGCATACTATTAACACCACAAAAAACACACACACACACACACAAAGCATAGCTTTGTCTTTTAACTTTTTTTCTCATCTTCTCTATTTTTTCAATTGTTCAGCTCCAGATGGATACAGTGTTTTCTGAGACATAATTTACAAGTTGCTCTTTTTCCCCCTCACTTGAGCAATTTAGACAACATGATGTTACTGTAATAACCCAGAAGTTGTTAGTAGGCTGCCTGGCAGCCACAGGCCCTAAGCATCTGCTTATGTTACTTATTAGGCAGAACCAGCATTGCCTTAACTGCTTGTAAACAATGAGTACATTTTTACATGCATTAAATAATTTGAGAACTGAAGAAAATCTGATTTTATAAGTAATTTGTTCAAAGCATTTACATACACTTAGGTAATCAGATAATGGGAAAACTCCAGGCCTACACAAGTCAGGCAATAATTGGATTTCTAGTGAAGTAAATGTAATATAAATCACAAATGTTATGCTGTGGCTTTTTTATTTAACATTGCATAATTTTTGTGGAAAATATTGTAGCATCAGCACAGAAAAAGATGCAGAAAAGAGTGCTCTTTTATTTTGAACACAACTGAGGCAGATAAATGTGCAGCCAGTGCTTAGAAACACAAGGACGGGATAATGCAAGAGAACATGACACATGGGGAGATACCGCCAACATACTGTAAACCCACAGTCCTTGGTCACATTTACATTAATTAGCAGTGCTACCCCAGTAACACAGTGTATTAGCAACAACAGCAACAAATGTCTTTTTTTACGCCTCCTGAGAGCCACTTTGAAGATTATATAAGAATATAAGAACATTTAAATCTTTTTATTTTGTCAAGCATGTAGCTGGTTTCAGCATCACTCCAAAAGTGTTTTGTTGCCATCTCACAGATGCTGTTGCCATCTTGCCGTTTCCTGGACAGTAGTCTGTTTTTGCTCATGCATAGATGGAGAAAAATGAAAGAAATCAGAGTAAGGGTATACATGTGCTAAAAAACCTGATTACCAAGCTAAAATCAAGGCAATATTGATTGGATTATTAAATGCAAGTAATCACACTCACTGATACAAATGTGTTGTTATGGTGATTTGTTTCACTTGTGAAACATAACTGATGAATACAATTTAAAAAATGCTGTGTCAGGAAAGCAGTTTTAAAATACACTTCATTTGTACTGTGGTATTACATTATTATAACATTGTGACATTGGCTCAGAAGAAAACGAGGAACACATAGCGCATATAGGCAGATGCTCTTTTATTTTGAACAGTACATCAACGGACAGTGAAACACCCCGCCCCACATGGTGGTAACAAAAGCCTGGCAAAGTTGCATAATGCTAAATAAAAACCACCTGGTGGTTTATTGTCAACAGGTCAGTAACATGATTGGGTATAAAAAAGCAACCCAGAGTGGCTGAGTCTTTCAGAAGTAAAGATGGGGAGGGGTTTACCACTCTGTGAAAGACTGCATGATCAAACAGGGCAACAATTCAAGAATAACATTTATCAACATAAAATAGCAAAGAACTTTTGCTTTTCATCATCTACGGTACATAATAACATTAAAAGATTCAGAGAATCTGGAGAACTCTCTGTATGCATGGGACAAGACCAAAAAACAGTATTTGCTGGCCATGATCTTTGGGCCCTCAGGCAGCACTGCATTAAAAACAGACATGAATCTGTAGTGGAAATCACTGCAAGGGCTCAGGAACACAGTAATGGTAAAATTGGTAAAAATGGAAAATGGTAATACAAGAGGAAAAGTGTCCTGTGGTCCGACAAATCAATATTTAAATTCTTTTTGGAAAACCTAGACCACTCAGCTCAGTCACAGTTAAAAAGCCAGTATTCATGAAGGTATAGGGGTGCATTAGTGCACATGGCATGGGTGATGTGCACATCTGTGAAGGCACCATTAATGCTGAACGATACATACATGTTTTGGCAACATGTGCTGCCATCCAGACAACGTCTTTTTCAGGGAAGGCCATGATTATTTCAGCAAGACAATGTAAAACCACATTATGCATATATTACAACAGCATTGCTCCATATTAAAAGGTGCTAAACTGGCCTGCCTGCAGTCTAGACCTGTCACCCACTGATAACATTTGGTGCATTATGAAATTAAAAATATGACAAAGGAGACCCTGAACTGTAGAACAGCTGAAATCCTATATAAAAAAACAGGAAAACATTAACTTTCAAAACTACAGCAGTGTCTCCTCAGTTCCCAAATGCTTACAGAGTGTTGTTAAAAGAAGAGGTGATGAAACACCGTAGTAAACATGTGTCTGTCCCAACTTTTTTGGGACATGTTGTTGTCAAATTTAAAATGGGTATGTATTTTTCAAAAAACAATTAAATTTCTTAGTTTCAACATTTGATATGTTGTCTTTGTACTATTTTCCATTAAATATGTGGTTTGCATATCATTGCATTCTATTTTTATTTACACCTTCTACACAACATCCCAACTTTTTTGGAAATGGGGTTGTACTTCTGTGAAATGAAATGTCCTGTAAGGAACTCAAAGAAGAACAACTGCTATACATTAATTTAACTAACCTGGCAAGGAAACGGATATTAATATTACGTCAAGTAAAAGCTGGTCTCCAGAGTCACGGGAGAGCATTTATATCCTGATGTTTTGGTGAGTCGTCTTTAGTCAGATACTGTCAGGAGGGGCCTCAGAGTTCTCATACTTAGAAAAATTACTGCTACTATTTAGCATACATGAAGGCAAGAAAGCATTGTTTTGACACCTTTTGATTAATGGTAAGCCTAACTGTTCATGGTTTATAACATTTTATATTTTTTGTGTTTCTACTGTAACCGTTTTTAAGATAGAAAATCTGAATACATGTATTACCATGCCTTTATTCTTTTGTTTTTAAATCACATATTAGCTAGGATATAATATTATGACTGGCCTCAATTTTCTTCACTATAGCTGTATCTAATGGCATCAGGATACATGACCCAACATTCTGTTTTCTTTTTGCAATTGCAGTAAAAACAAGTGTTGTATCGAGTGGTTTTGAAACACTGTGGAGAACATGGAGCCATATGTCAATTCAACAACTTTTACCGAATTCTTCCTTCTTGGATTTCCAGGAGTTCTTCCAGAATATTATGGAGCAGTTGGAACTCTTCTTCTCTTCATTTACCTCATACTTGCAGGAGGGAACCTGTTTATTATTGTATTTGTGGCTTATGAAAAGAGCCTCCAAAAACCAACCTATCTTATCTTCTGTAATCTTGCTGCAGTGGACTTTGCTTTTGGAACTGCCACAATGCCCAAAACCATTGCAAAGTACCTGCTTAAAGATGAAACCGTGCCATTATATACCTGCTTTGTTCAAATGTTTTTCATCCATTACTTAGGGAGTGTCACTTCTATCCTTTTGCTAATAATGGCTATGGATCGATTTATCGCCATATGTAATCCTCTCAGATACCCAACTCTGGTTACAAACTACTCTGTTACAATTGTATGTGTAGTGTGTTGGGTGATTCCAGTCTCTTGGATGACAGTGATAGCTGTGCAGACCACAGCTGTACCATTCTGTGACTCCAATGTAATAACTCAGTGCTTTTGTGACCACAACTCGGTAGCTAAATTGGCCTGTGGTGACTTAAGGGCTTCAAGGGTGTTTTCCTTTATTATGGCTATGTTTGTTCTGTTGGTCCCCCTTGCTTTTATCATATTTTCCTACATAGCGATCATCCTCACTGTCTTAAAAATATCTAATGTTCAAGCAAAGTACAAAACATTCTCTACATGTAGCCCTCAACTTCTTATCATATGTCTTTACTATCTGCCCAGATGTGCTGTCTATATTGCTGATTTGAAAGTTCAGATGAGCAATGATGCTCGCATTATGATCAGTATGTGGTATAGTTTGTTTCCCCCATTAGTCAATCCAATTATATTTTGCTTTAGAACAAAGGAAATACGAGAAACTTTAATAATGACATTAAGAAAAAGGAAGATCAGTGATCAACTGAAAGCTGCTTTTAGCTGAACTAAAAAATGAAACTTTTGAGTATGTTATACAGATACACTGGAAATAGTTTTAGATTCCTTTTTCAGATGTTTATCTTTTTTGATAGCTTTTACAAACACAAAAAAAACACTTTCCATTCAGTTAAATTTTGCCCTATCTTTGTTCAGTCTGAGTGCTGCCATTTGTCTTTTTTCAAATATTTGACAAATCTCTGTTATTTTTTGTCTTATTGATTTTGAATACAATAACAATATTTCAACATTATTTCAATACGTGATGAGCAATTCATAGACCTAGGCTTGTGAGACCACGTCTGTAAATTGCTCCTCAAATTTTACCCTGCTGAGGTTTTAAATCAATAAACCTGCCACACATTCTCTGTCATTTACAGAGTTGTTCCAGCTCCTTCTAGATCTTATCTGAGCCTGTATCAGTTCAGTTTTTTTATAAACATACCTTCCCAAGTCTAATCTGACCACTCCAACTGTTCAGGAACTATAATGTCTCCACCTCAACACTAAAATTGTCTCTGTTTCTTTCACTCAATTCCTAAATCTACTTTAACAATTTTGAAATTTATTTGAGTGAATTAGTTAAATGATGTAAAATGATTGGGCTGCACTCTTTGTGCTAGCATTACCTTTTCAAGTCATTACAATCAATTGGAAAGTCTACTGAATTATTGAATACTCATGAATTTGAACAGTACTGTGATGAAGCTAAGGCTGCATGGTTGGGGCCTTGCCTGTATGCTCTTTGGCATTTTGAGTAGTCACCAATACCCTTAAAAATCTTGTTTAATAACCTTTTAATAATATATATTCTGTAAAATTAAACAGTGATAAGTTGCATTTGTGGCCATAGTCAAATAAAGTAAATCACTGGAATCACTGAAAATTTTTTTCTAGTATACAAACCACATTATAAAGTGATATATCATTGTTGTCAGACTGAAACCTCACCTCTTCATTTTTAAACACCAGCTACCCTTTACATATCGTGGACATTTCATGAAGATTTCAGTAAACAGAAATGAAGATACAAGATTTAGTTCAGTCAGCAATAATATAAAGTGAATATAAAATGAAGAGAAGTAAAAAAAAAATACAATCCCATTTCCAAAAAAGTTGGGATGCTTTGCAAAATGTAAATAAAAACAAAATGCAATGATGTGCAAATCATTTAAACCCTACGTTTAATTGAAAATAGTACAAAGACAACTTATCAAATATAGAAACTGAGAAATTTTATTGTTTTTTGAAAAATATAAATCCATTTTGAATTTGATGCAAGTAAAATGACCCAAAAATGTTGGGACAGGAGCAACAAAAGTCTGGGAAAGTTGTGTAATGCTGAAAAAAAAAACACCTGGTGGTTTATTGGCAACAGGTCAGTAACATGATTGGGTATAAAAAAAGCATCTCAGAGAGGCTGAGTCTTTCAGAAGGAAAGATGAGGAGGGGTTCGCCACTCTGTTAAAGACTGTGCAGGCAAATCGTGCAACAATTCAAGAATAACGTTTCTCAAAATAAAATAACAAAGAACTTTTGCTTTTCATCATCTACAGTACATGATAACATTAAAAGATTCAGAGAATCTGGAGAAATCTCTGTATGCAAGGGACAAGACCAACAACCAGCATTTGCTGCCCATGATCTCTGGGCCCTCAGGTGGCACTGTTTTAAAAACAGACATGATTCTGCAGTGGAAATCACTGCATGGGTTCAGGAACACTTCTGAAAAACACTGTCTGTGAAAACAGTTTGTTGCTGCAAAGAAGAAACCATACATAAACAGGATCCAGAAATGCTGCCACCTTCTCTGAGCTAATTTAAAATGAACTGAAGCGAAGTGGGAAAGTGTTCTGTGGTCCAACAAATATACATTTGAAATTCTTTTTGGAAATAATGAGTTTCCAAAAAGTGCTTGCCATAGCAGGCCAAGTTGCTTATAGGAACTAATGGGAGTCAGCGGCTATGATTTCAGATTTAGTGTTTGTGTGACAGATGTGTGAGTGCCACTCTTTCCAACATTGCAACACTGCAACAATGTTCAGCATCGGCAACACTGACATACTGTTGCTTTGTAAAGTAAATGGTTACTATGATGCAGAGTAGCTTCAAATACATCCACCCAAATGCTGTTTCCGTGAAACGAAAATTGCCTATAGGCATCCTGTGTACAATTTGCTGTAGGCCCACAATACCTACTAACTGGGCTGTAGACCCACACTAACTCAACTAAAGATACAAAATCTGGAAAAAAAAAAAAACCTTTCATTCATCCATCCATCCATCCATCCTTCCATCCACCCATCCATCATCTTTAACCTCTTAATACAACTGTCACGCTTCCCTTCAGCTCCCAAGCCGAGCAGAACTCCAACTCCCATGATGCCTCTGACTCCTAACCAGAGTCATGTGACTTACCCACGTTCCCAATCACCCGAATACTGATTGTTTGCACCTGTGTCCCAACCTATTTAGACTCTCATGTTGTTCAGTTCTCTGCCGAGTTTTGACTAGCCATCTAGCATTACAAAGCGTTCATTGTCTGTTTGATTTCGTGTGTTTTGACCTTTGCTTGTTTGTTACTTCGAGTTTTGCCTCTCCCTTTTGTACTCTGTTTTGCCGGTTTTGGATTTTTGCTTCATTATTTGACTATGTGTCTTGGTATGCCCCTCTACTACTTCTGTTTTTTGCTGTTGCTGACCTGGACTGTTTTTGACTACCCCTTCGTGCCTAAGCCCTTTATTCAAAACTCTCATTTTAATCTGCGAGTGTCTGATTTCTGTCCAGTCCTGACAGAAAACTCGGCCACCATGCAGACAGCAGATTTAGATACTGTTAAGACTGCCATAGCTTCTCAGGGTCAGCTACTGGGTCAACACTAGCAGCTCTTGTCCCGCATGGCCCAGTCAGTTGATGAGCTCGCTCAACAGCAGAATCTCCAGCAGCAGCAGCTATCTCAGATACTGGCGAGTATTAAAGACCTTTCTACCCATTTGCAAACCAGTAGTTCTAATGTTATGCCGGCTACTGTTTCAGCTACGGTAAACCCCGTAAGTTCGTTTCCAGTCTGTAAGCCGGAGTCATTTGATGGTAATCCTGATAAGTGTAGTGGCTTTCTGTTACAGTGCTCAGTGTTTTTTAGTAACTCACCACCAAGCACAGACCAAGCTAAGATGGCTTTCGTTGTCTCCTGTCTTACTGGCAAGGCTTTAGACTGGGCTACCGCTGTTTGGGAGAACGTCCATAGAAAAACTTTTTCCCAGTTTTTAACGGAATTTCGTCAAGTTTTTGATCACTCTGCTGAGGGAGTCTAATGGTGAATTGCTCCTGGCTTTAAGGCAGGGCAATCGCTCCGTTGCCTCCTATGCCTTGGAGTTTCGCACGTTAGCTGCAGGAAATGGGTGGAACGAACCAGCTCTAAAGAATGTTTTTCGTCATGGTTTAAATCCTGAAGTTTTGACTGAACTAGCCTGTAGGGATAATGAACTAGCGTTGGAACAATTGATCTCTCTCTCTATACGCTTGGATCAGCTTCTGAGCAAACGCCCCAAGAGATGCGTTAAGCAACCCAATCCAGCAAAAACTACAGTCCAGAACGTAGTTTCCATTCCAGTACCCAGAGTAGGCCTGCCTACTGAGCCTATGCAGTGTGATTCATACTGGCTGTCAAGGGAGGAACGTCTCCATCGGCTCCATCGTGGTCTATGCCTTTATTGTGGAGGTTCAGATCACGTTCGGCGTGACTGTGGACTGTGTCCACACAGAACCCAGGCGCCAACCCCAGGAAAGTGGGTGATGTGGTGAGTATTCCCACAAAGGGGTTGGTTTCCATGTCATTCTTTTTACCTGCCTCTGTATGCTGCCAAAAAACATCTATTTGTGTTTCAGCTTTGATCGACTCCGGAGCCAAGGGTAACTTCCTTCATCAGGACGTCGTTACCCACCTCAACATCCTTGTCAATCCGTTACCTCATAAGCTCACTGTCTTCGCCCTTGATGGATTCCCCGTGGGACAATCACCCATAACACACAAAACCAAACCCATACTATTACAAACTAGTTTCCTACACAAAGAGACAATTTCATTCCTAGTCCTCCCATCCTCCGATTACTCGCTCATTTTAGGTCTACCCTGGTTAGAGGAGCACAATCCGGTCATTTCATGGTCGCAGCATGACATATTATCTTGGTCCCCTTATTGTTTAGAACACTGTCTACTTAACCATCAAGTCTCCGTTAAGTCTACTACCATAGAAAGTCCCAATAGTTCCACACCTATTAATGTTCCTGAGGTGTATTCTGACCTGATCGAAGTTTTTAGTAAAGAAAAAGCTACGAAGTTGCCACCCCATCGTCCATACGACTATGCTATAGACTTGATAGACAATGCTTCTCTGCCCAAGTCTCGTATATATCCTCTTACTCATGATGAGGAACATGCCATGGAGGAGTATATTGAGGAAGCCCTCGCACAAGGCTTCATACGCCCATCTAAGTCCCCCGCTGCTTCTGGCTTCTTTTTTGTGAAAAAGAAGGACGGTGGATTAAGACCCTGCATTGACTATCGTGCCCTCAATGATGTGACAAAGAAGTTCGCTTACCCCCTTCCCCTGATCCCAGTGGAACTTGAACAGCTGAGAGGTGCACAATATTGCACAAAATTGGATCTACGCAGTGCCTACAATTTAGTCCGTATCCGAGAGGGAGACGAATTGAAAACTGCCTTTGTCACCACTAGGGGGCACTACGAATACCAGGTCATGAGCTATAGATTAGCGAACGCTCCGTCAGTGTTTCAGTCTTTCATCAATGATGTTCTACGTGATATGTTGGGTACATTCGTCATCACTTACATTGATGACATCCTGATTTTCTCTCCTGATCTCAAGTCACACATCCAACATGTACGCAAGGTGTTACAGCGTCTGTTAGATAATAGTCTCTATGTTAAAGGTGAAAAATGTGAATTCCACCTCCAGTCAGTCTCCTTTCTGGGCTATGTAATAA